AGTGAGAAAAATTGTCACCCTCGTCACTGAAAGTCATATAAAAAGCAAAAGAAAAACAAAGTCGGATTGAGACAACACAGTTTAGTGGCTATATTTAAATATATAGAGAAAGAAGAGTTCATTTCTCATAAAACAAGACAGCATCAAAGCAATAAGAGCATTGCAGAGAGAAAATGATTGACAGCTGGTTAGATTTTAATGGGAGAGGATAACAAGGGATTGCATGGAGTTGTGACAGTGAGATTGCAGGGTGTGTGTGGTAGGTTGAGACTGCAGAAAGAAAATGTCTGGCATGAAATACGGAAAGCAGATGTATACAAGAATGACCACAGACCCATCTGAGAGCTGTCCATGTCTTCTCCACAGTTAATCTGGAATGTGATAGCCAATGACAACGAAGATGGGGAACTGAGTATGTAAGAAAATGCTGCCTAGTAGCTTGTTTTATTGTGTTAAAGGCTGGCAGAAGCCCAAAGCTGGTAGTGCTATAAGACACGACGAAATATGAGAAGTTCTGGCAGGCAGTGTAGATAAAACAAGACTGAGGACAACTGGGACTGCAGGCTGATTTAATGAATCTAGTATGTAGAAGGAAAAAGCCAGCCAACAGCAAGAAGGGAACTCGCTTGATGAGGTACACTGGAGAAGAACATAATGTGTCAAAGTTACTTCTGTGTGGACAGGCAAATAATTAGGAAAACACTGATTATCAGGAAAGCTGTTTAAGAAATTAATAAACAAGACTGTGTTTTGAACCCCAATGATGATGGGCAGCTGGATTCTTCTTACCTAATTTCACTCATCTAAGAATTAATTGCCTATCCTAAAATAGCTACCCTAGCTACCCTACATCAGTGGAGACAACAGATACCTTAAGATACCTATTAGAGATTCAACCTACCTAAAAATTATTCTATTTTCACAGCTTGAGTTGTCCATTAGACATGCGTGTACCTCCTTGTCTATGTCTCTTTGTCTCTACAGGAAATCTAATTAACTAGCTTCTACCAGATACCTAACTGCTCTGTGACTAAGTTAAGCAAGATGAATCCTTTCCTCACTTTCATAAGACTCCAGTTCATGGTTCAAGTTCTTCTGTCAGTTGTGTTGGTGTTAACACGTGTTGTTAAAGATATGAAAGAACACTTTTGATATGAGAGAACAAGGTTTTCAAATCTGATAGCAAGTAACAAAGCCAACAAGTTGTTACAACAAGCTCATCTGTTCTTGAAAAACAAAACAAAACAAAAAACAACCTGTGCATTTAGCCATACAACCTGGATTTTGACAAAATCCCTCCTGAGAGGCATGGAGGAAGTGAAGAAGTTAAGGTTACAAGGTACTTTTCTATTATGAGATATAAACAGCTTAAAAAAAGGGTAAGAAACATAAAATTAGGGAATAAATCATCCTTTTTAAAGAAAGGAGACTACAAGTAGAGATCCAAGGATTTATACCAGAAGTTTGAATGGTTTGAACAGGCAGCAAGAAAAGATGTTGAACAATGGTGAAGCTGAATCAGCAGGAGGAACATGTGAATTTCTTATGTTAGTAGAGAATACCACGAACAACTTACAGATCCTGTTTGCAACACGCTGGGGGAGCATGATGGCAGATGAGATATGGAGTAGATAGGTGCAAAGTCACTCACATTAAAAGGAACCATTTTAGTGACTACATAGTAACAATCAGGGAAGCAAAGATGTATCGTGGTGGATACACCTGCTTATTGAAAAACCTGCTCAATGAGCAGGGGTAGTTAGAAAAAAGCAGGTTTTTAGGCTGAAAAGAATGCTGAAAATATTATGTAAAACAGTGAGGTATCCACACTGTGATCATGGCATTCAGTTCTGATCACAAAATCTCAGAGAGAGATGAGTGTGGGAATTGAAATGGCTGGGAGATGGGCAGTAAAAATTATTAAAAGCAAAGAAAAACTTGTTTATGAACAGAGGTGAAAAGGACACAGACTACAACAGGAGTGCAAACAGCTGCCCGCTTTAGAAAGCCATTACAATTTCTAGGAGAATTCTCAGAGATGCTCCTACTTAGATTAGCAAAATCTTGGAAAACAGTGAAAGCACCAAAGCTTTAACTACTCAGTGTAATTTAAAGAGGGGAAAATCCCTACTGTGGGTAGTTAAAGAACATAAATAAGAAACATCTATTTATTCTTAAAAACTAGAGTAATAGGATTATGATGGAATTGCTTGTGTACATTAAAAAGCAACCTATTTACAACACAGAAAAAGCAGCAGCACTGCTTTACACTACCTGTAAGTAATCTATGAACTCATTTCCAGGAGAAGACATTGAGGTTTTAGTCTTTCAAGTTTGAAAAAGTTGTATGAATAAATAAGGCCTGTAGTCCACATAAGTAATGCTGACTAAAACAATAGCTGAGACATCAAAGTTTTCAGGCTTCAGGCAAAAAGTAAGCACTGGCACACATTACTTGGCAACTGAAACAGGCTACCCAGGTTCAATTATTGTGACTCAGCTAACATGCAGCAGCTTAGGATCATCGCTTGCAATTACCTCTCTTTTTCCTGCAGTCCTTAGTTTCCAAGAAATGACAAGCTGAAAGTTAAACTAGAATCATCTGCAACTGGAATATTTTACTACATTATTTATTTTCTCATTTATTTCTCTGTAACATTCTTAAAACTCTTCCCAAACTTGTCTTGTACTTTTCTTTCCCCCTTCTAAAGCTTCTTTCATCAAGTTACAAGACACCAAATGCAGTGTGACACCATTTTACAAAATATTTTGAATTCCAAAAAAATTGAGCACTTGAGTCTTCTGAAAACAAGGTTTTAAACTCATGACTAAATACGCTATCATTAGCCAAACACTGCAGTTTGGTGAAGTCTTTACCCCGGCAATAAGGTAATTTCAGGATCTCCTTACAGCTTCTGTAATTCCATTTACTTTTCAAATGATACAGCAGTTTGTATAGTACTAGCTCAATTGCTTTTGACTTTCTGTCAGCATTATTCATAGGAGGAATCTGGCTCTCATACCTCTTTTCTGCTCCCACTGAAATCAATGGCAAAATTTCCTCTGATTCCTTCAATAAAAGCAGAACAGCCAGTAGAGGGGGCACAAATACATAGAAATAATTTTCTGCTGTCCCTATAAAAATGATAATATATACTGTTTTTTCATATAGGATTCGCATTACTTTTTTCCCCACCGATCAAAAATACTGTCTTGATCAGGTTCCAACAGATGTGAGTCAGGAGGCTCTGTGCTGTTTGGTGGCCCTTCCTGCAGCCCCTGGGACCTCAGGACTCTGTGTGAGAGGCACAGGCTGGACCCCGCAAAACTGAAATAGTATTTTCTACTCACACAGAGCTCCTGAGCAGACCAGCACAGTATGGGGCACGTCTTTGGCTCTTGGACATAACCAGAGCTCAGCTGACTGGTGGTCTGTGCCTGCACATGAGCGTGCAGGTTGGGTGAACCAGCACAATACCATGCGACAAGGCTAAATGGTGACTTTCTACTTCAAACCTCTGCTCTCATTCAGCAAGCTGCAGCCTTCAGCAGCAGTTTGTCCCTTTCTGTGAGCCCAGTGCCACTAGCTGCCCAGACCAGGGTCACACCTCTGTCCCCTCTCTGCCCGCTAATGCAACTGGTGGACATCACCTGGAGGTTGCTTTGTTACAGGACTCAGAAGGTGCATTGCTCTGCGGGTGAGAAGACCTCAGGGAATAATAAAACAGGACCTCTATCCTCCTCTTTCTTTCTAAATTTCATGCGTTTCAAATGGGATCTCAGGATTGTAAAGGAGGGAAAGACCTAATCTCTTCAGGGAACTGACTCAAAAAGAAACACCCCACCCCACGCACCCCAGGAAACCAAACATAAACTGCTGAGTTTCTTATTCCATTGTCAGGCTTCCCCGTGCTAACACAGAGCCTGTCCTCCCATCCATCCATCCCACTTTGTTTAGAACCACGTACATGCAACAATTGCAAAAGCACTTGTGAGTAGTCGAAGTCTGCTCCCATTAAAGCAAATAGAGTCAGATAAATGACAAGTGCTTTGGAAAATGCCTCTGCTAGATACCACAGAGGATAGGATGGAAAAAGAGAATGTAAGCGTTTGGATGTGAAACGTTTTCAAAACAAACAAAAAGTCACCTTAGAGATCCATTGGCTCTTCACCTCTAAATTTGGGAAAAAAAACCAAAACAAAACAATGTGGAGTTCAGGGGGCCCTGGGAATCTCACTGCCAGCAAGAGGAATGATAAGATGCACATTTAAGTGAGTGACACTTTTATAAGTACCTTTTTGGTAATCACATTTGATGTCTTTTCCATCCTCAATTTCCTGTTTTTCAGAGAACAAAGGTGGCACTACAATGCTTTGCTTTACAGATGTAGACAAAACTAACAAATTTGAGTTTGGAGTACTATAAAAAGACCTACAGAAATCTTTCTGGATCTCGGTGAAGGTGCTGCACCCATCCTGAAGTCTGTGAACTACCTGGTGCCTTACACTGAATAATGATTTCTCTAAGAATATTTCCTGTCTACGCAAATATGCACGATCATATCTGATTTTCCAGTGAAAAAGACTAAGTTTTTATATTTTTCTTTGTTTTCTCTGCACATTCCAAAACATTTCAAACCCCAATCTACTAGATGACCACTAACCAAGGAACTAAACTATATAAGCCAGATGGGCCTCTCCTGTCTCATATTCCTACTGTGCTTCTGCCACAAAATTTTCTCAGTTGGCCCTTTAATGACCTTTAAAAGGAAAAAAAAAACAACCAAAACTGGATAACCCCTGCATATATAAATAAATTATATAATATGACATTATATATTTAGTAAGCACTACTAATATACTTATGTGTGATAGAATTCATCTTTAGCTGGTGAAAATGGGAAGGAAGTGGGAGTTTTTAGAAAGGCGACAAGAGAGTCTGTGAGGAGTAGATTTCAGTGCATCTTGTTTTGATCATCATTCAGGTACAGACACGTTACCTGCTGGCCTGGTTTGAGCGGTGATAGTGTGATTCCCTGGGTATTGATCACTGGGAGTATCTGGTTGCCGATGACGGTAGCGATGATCTGACCCTGGGCGTTGGTCAATAACTGTGGAGTTATCGGCTGCACCTGAAGTCCCTGAGCTCCACCTGCCGCCTGGCTGGAGGGGACCGGATTAGGCATCAGTGGGATTGTTCCAATAATCTGGAAAAAATTACATAGAAAGGGAAAATGCACACATGCCACATATACTTGCCACACTTAATTACTTGTTTTCCACATGTTAAATCAAACTTAGGTGAAATAAACACAGAGAGACAGATATGACAGGCTGAGGGTGGGAAACCACCATTCCTTTATTGGGATGATGAGGACTTCCAAACTCATTTGTGGCATCACGTATCACCTGTATGCTTTACCACCATCCACTGTCATCCCCAACAAATCTACTGTGGCTGGGAGTGTATGAAACAAAAGCTGGGCCATGCTCTGGCCTTGTTCCCACTTCTCACTTGAACACAGAGTGAAATAGATGCAAATATCAGTCCTGGTTTTTTTTTGCTTTCTACAACTCATCTGTGCAACGTTATTATCTGTGAACTGACGTGCTTATGGAATTTTCCTTGATTTACTGATACCTAGTACTCTAGATGACCACCTGTGACTCCTCAGGGAGGAACAAAGAGATACTGGTGCCTTTCAGGACATGGCTTATTAAGACACGTTCATAAAAATGCAGCTGCTTTTGGATGACAACTAAGTAGTACAACACAACGGGAGGGCTGTTGTTAGATAAAACATTTTAGCTAACATTTCTGGGGCAAGTACTTGCAGAAAGAGACACTTATGACATCTCAGATTTGAGAATACGGTGAGTTCCTAAAATGTGAATGTGCCTGTAAAACTAATATTAGGATGAGATGTCAGATAGGTACGGTAAGAAAACTTGTCAGTCCATAAGCTGCTGGATTGAAGAAAGTTATTCTGTTGGAAGACTCTTTTTAGAAGTATTAGAGCTTCTGAAACAAACTTCTGATGAAACTTGTGAATAAAAACAAACTCTTTTTTTTTTTTCAAATAACAACAAATGATGCTAGAGTCATAGGATTATTGCAACAGGAAAAGTAAAAAATAAAGTTTAAAAAGCAAAACACATCTCTATTTCCTTCACCACCTCTCCTCTGACTTTCTCTGTCGCAGCCCCAGAAAACATCTATCCCATTGTAAGGCTTCCAGTCTTCCCTCTCCAGAAGCCTCGCTTCCTCCTCTTTATCCTCAACATCCACCACACTGCATGTCCTGTCAGTCCCCCACCACTATGATCACAGTTGTCCTGTGTCCTTTATCCCATAAATTAACTACTAGTGTAGACCTACTTGGTTGATGAGAAATAGGGTGGATTATGGCCGAGTTCTCCCTCTTTTTCCTCAGTGGAGATAGTAACAGGGTAGCTTTCCTCAGTCTATCTGATGATTCACATTCCATTTAGGAGCTTAATAATCTTTTAAGATCTCTTTACTTCTGATAATTTTTGTTGAAATTGGTCAGCTGTTTCAAAGCTATTAGGAAGGTATGGAGAGGTGGATGGATGGAAAGAGGGAATGAAGGACAGGCAGCACTAGGTGTAAGACTCATTTTCTCAGGAAAACAGGCTAAGTTTTTCTAAGGGAACTTGAAAGCAAATTTGTCTCCTAAACATACACCATTCCTATTGATTTCAACTATTAATTTATATTATACCAATGGGGAATGTATAAAACAATGTAAAATTAGCTCTAAAATGACTGGTTAGTGAAAATATCAGTGGCTTTGTGGGCAGATCACTAAGTTACTTTCTGAGAGCACAAAACTAGAGGAACAACTCTGAATCTCTTGCTAAGGACAGAAAAAGGATACATGTATGAACTGCGTTGTGATCTGCGAAGACCTCTGCATGTTTAAATCACCAAAGGTGATCCACAACAACCCCAGAAAACCCATCCTCAAGAAAGCATCACACAGCAATATCCACCTAACTCAGGCATAGCTGGAGGGGCAAGAGGCTCTCATCAGGGGATCACCCTCTTCCTTCCGTTATTAGGCTAATGTATCGCTCAGCCAAGTGAGAGCATCCTAATGAGTGCCTGCCTCTTCAGCAGTCACAGCCCAATGTGTGCCTCTAGGTAGGCTCAGCTGGGAAGGACAAGGTGACCCACTCTTTGAGTGAGAAAAGTGCACTTGGTTAGCTACAGCAGCTGAGCTAACAAGTGGTAAGTGCTGAAGTCACCATCCATTTACCAAACTTGCCTGAGCTACCAGAGAGCCATGAAGAAAAGCAGGGCAGCTCTCCTGTGGGAGGACCTGGTAAAATGGCAAACCCACCTACTAAGCTGTCTTGTAAGAGCTGCATATATCAAAACTGTTCAAAACACTGTAAAGATATCATTTAAGTTCTCCTTAATGCATTCTTAAAAGGTAAACAGATCAATAAAGATTATTACCCCCATTTTACAGAGCATGAAAGTGAAGCACGATGGAGCATATTCAGACAGAGGCTGTGATTTGGAGTGTTAGGCTTCTCAGCTGGAATTGCCTGTGAGTTTCTCTCGGCAGACCACAGTACTTTTATTTATTTATTTATTTATTAAGATGTCCCTACCTGAACTGCAGCTGCATTACAGTTCAGGTGAGAAGATGGCTGTTCACTGAGAAGGGAGGCATTTATTTACATCATTATCAGATGTCAGAATGTTTTCTGAAATCTGACTATCAGTGGGAATTAAATACAACTTTGATGCAGTGCAACATGTATATACATTTCTCCCAGTTTTTGGCAACCTAAAATATTTATGGGTCATGAATATATTCTTACACTTTTACCATATGTCACCAAACACAAGGACTAATCCTTAATCCTTCTTAATTTTATCAGCAGAAACATAGCAAAGGCCTCTCCTTCCTTTGCCACGTCAGTAAAGGACGCGACCTTGGAGTGTCATTACTCCAATGTAACTTCAACTACCAAGGTCCTAATCCCAGCAAAGCAAAAAATGCTGCGCTGGTGTTATCAGTAATAGAAATGTTTGCATTCACATTTAAAATGCATTTCTTGGACTGCAGTTGGACATTTTATAGAATGACAGTGCTGAAGTGGACAGTTTGTAAGGTCAGAAGCAGAAGGCTATCTATATGTATTAATGTGTGTCACACACCATGCTGTCCACAGCGTGCTGTACATACACACAGCTCTCAAAACAGAGCAGGGAAAACATACAGCTGAGAGAGGTGTTCCAGAAGGACAATCAACAATTGTCCTCAGGGGTGTTAGAGTCGGAGCCAAGGGCAAATCTGAATGGGAAACAGTTTTCTCACTTTGTGAAACTTATTGAGATTTCAAGATTTTTTTTTTTTTCCATTTTATACCAAAATAAAGTAAAATCTTGTCTGGTTAAAAACCAGATATCCACCTGTCTCTAGTTAACCAACAGGGCTACGTTTAGGACATGCATCTTTGATATGGAGAAACCCAGATTCAAGTTCCCCCCTTCTCCAAGTACCCTTTCCCAAATATCCTAACAGCTCCCTGATTCACACCGCTCAGCTTTGTATGAGTAAGTAAAATATTCACTAGGGAGGAGTACTGAACCTGGATCCCCTCCTCAGACCTTGGGTCACTGTCCTGATGCGGGGCCACATACTTCTTCATCTAATTTTGGTAGGAAATTTCACCCTGGGCCTTGCTCATCTGTCCTGTTAAAGTATCATAAAAGCTTTCACTTTATGAAGACAATTTATGGGTTGGATACATTTAAATTTTCTGAAGAAATAAAACAAGACCACGCCACAAGCTTGAGACACTGGTGTGCCACAGTACAGACTATTTAATTGCCAGGGATTTCCCTGGTGAGAAGGCATTGCTCCTTTCTAGCAAATGCTGCTGCTTCACATTATATTCAAGGACAGTTCAGGAATAGTGTGTGACCAGGGACTTATCCCACAATATACCATTCAGAATCACAGAATGATTTGAGTTGGAAAGGACCTTTTAAAAATCATCTAGTCCAACCCCAATGCCATGTGCAGGGACATCTTCCACTACATCAGATTGCTTAAAGCCCCGTTCAACCTGACTTTGAACACCTCAGGGATGGGGCATCCACAACTTCTCTGAGACATAGCGGAAGAGGCTTCTTACTCTGTCAGTGTTTGGACTCAAGTTCATAAACAATTCCACCTGTCAAACACATTCTTGAGAAAATAAACACATCCCTAGAAGTCACACTACAAAAATAGAATTTAAAAGTTTGGGGTTATTTTACACTAGGCACGTGGCTTTCACAATTCCTTTGTACCTCATACAACTATGCGTTCACAGAGGAGTTGCCAAACAGGTGTCATCTGCAAAACAACAAACAGTTTTGAAAGTCGAAGGGTTAATTCAAGGGATCCCCTTGCCAATGCTCCATAACCTCAAAGGGAGTCACGCAGAGTGATCTGCAGAGCGCTGCTGATTAAAATAAATTACACCTGTTTGTATCTGAGGTTCAGGTTCCAGAGAGAGACACAAAATGTGCAGATGTGACACTGGAAATCCTACTGAGATATTTAATGTAAATTCAGATCTCAGCTTTTTTACAGAGACAGGACTTAGTTCTACCTCTAATTAAAACACCAAGACTGTAATTCTGACCCTGTCCTAGTGACAAGAGTGTTGCCAGAAGCCTTGGCAGAGTCAGATTTTCACTGCAAGTATTCATGAAGATTCTTTTATTTTTGGTTATGGATTAATAGATCAGTTGCATCTTGAGATGCTTAGAGAGCAGTTTTTGAAGATGTTAATTTAGGGTTTTGTGCTTCCCAATATTAATTAAGTTTTAAGAATCAATTATTTGTTTCTAACCTGAAAGGAAATTCAGGGTGATTTTTAGGAGTGTCTGAATACTCTCCACTGATGAATCTGTTAGTGTCATTTTAGCATCCTAGGAGTTCAAGATATCTGAGATCAGGCCTCTCAAATCTTACAACCTGAATCTGCCATTGCCACGACAACTTACATGATTGTTATTCATATGAAATAAAGTCGTAAGGCTTGGCTTGCCTCTGAAGTTAATTTGCTGATCTGCTCCTACCTACTTACCACCTGTGGGCTCAGCGGTCTGTGTCTACATAGTCCTGCAAACTCTGAATTCATCTACGCTGAAAGAAACAGCGCACCAGTAAAGTGAAGGTAGAATCCCAAGGAATGGAGCTCATCGTGGAGGGAGAAAAATCCCAAAGCCTCAGCAAACCAACAAATATCTGTGCAGGTAATATCCCCGCACTGATACACAGAAGTGCTTGGTCACTTCTTGTACCATTACACAGATTTTGGTCCCTTGCCTTGCTCAGTAAAGGTTTCTTCTTAAAAATTAAATAAAATCATTTGATCCCTCAAAAATGATCCCTTGAACAGCTGATCTTTAAGAAAGAATAACATAAAAAAAAAATCCATTCTTATCCTTTCCTGACTGACAACACATCTTCATATTTAATTGCCTTTGTGGATTACTTTGTTGTAACTCACAGGCTGAAACTGCAGCGACTGCTCAGAACTTCTGGGGATAAATGTCTAATTGTAGCCCCATTTGCACTGTAGATATAAAACTCGATTTTGCCTAACTGTACAGAGCACTAATTGCTGATTTCCCAGCAGTGGGTCTTTCCTTGTGGCTCCTAATAAACCAATAGTGTTTTGACATTAGGTGAAGTTACTATGCGACTCTAAAATGAAGCGTACCGCAGTTTCTTATTAAATTCTTCTCCCTCTCTCCTCACTGGAAGCAGGGATGCTGCCTTGCTTCGTTGTTTTCCTAGCACAACCGAAGGAATATTAGAAACTACAGCCAAATGGATGGTCCAACAACTGCCTTTGTTTCTGCTGTGAAAAGGCTAAGTAAAATCGAAGACTCACCATGCTAGGTTGTTTCTACTGTCAGCCAGGGCTGATATAAAGCAAATAGTTCCATTTCATCTGAAAAATGTCTTGAATTATGAAAAGGAAATGTTAAGTTTGTTCAGCAGTATCATCAAAATGAACATTTCTCTGATTTTATCAGTGTTACAGCCCTTTAAATATTACAGGTTAATTATTCAGTTTTGAAGAACAGAAGAACAATATAAAAATAAAATAAAAAAAAAGGGGAAAGTAAAATGAGCAAAACCAGAAAAATTATTCAGTAAAACAAGGCAAACCACTATATACACATAAGCTAATTTAACATCTCAAACTATGAACAGAATGCATGGATGTCTTCCTCTTACACAGTGAGCCAAAAAAATCACCATTTGAGTGCACGTTTGCCAATTTAAATATGCTTCACTCATCTTCATTTTCTAGTCCTCAGAATATAATCTGAAATGAAAGCTCACTTCAGCTTCTGTAGCATGATGCTGGTATGTTTAAATCAATTTTTTTTCTAGTTTTATGGGGCCAAAAGCTAATTTAACCCCAGCAGTCATACCACCTGCAGTACATAGGACAGCGTTTATGAATTGGTTCATTTCATACAGTTTTGCAAATTTGCCTTCAGAAGCTGCTTCTGTTCACAGATATGTTCCTTCTTGTATGGTCACTGCATCAGCAGGAGTTACTTTAAGGAGATAATCTAAGGAGAAAATGACTGAGGAAAGGACAGAATAATGAGAATCTGCACAGGATTCTTTAGCCTTTGTTCAGCTGCCTCATTCTTAATCATATATATATATATATA